CAGATGGTCATATACAATACTCTGTAGTGTTTGCGAGTGCGGTCATCTCGGCGCATTATCACTCAAAGACAATTAATGAAATTCAGTCGATCTTATGTGCATAAAAAGTTGGTAACCGGCAAGTAGCTGGTACGTAATACCAAATCATGATCTCAATATTTCACTTTAGCGGCTACGCCATGCCTTTTACATGGTCCTATTCTCATTTATAGCGTATACTGGAACAGGAATCTTAGCGCGTTATCTCTCAAAGGCATCGATATTCGGTCGATCCTATATGCTTAAAAACGTGAGGAGCCGGTCAGCAGTAGGTGCGTATCTCACATCCCAATCTCAATACATTAGCTAATAAAAGATATAATGAAAGATGGTGATCGTAAAGCAGAAATAAGGAATTATGTAGAAGCGACATTTCCGTAAGTAACAACCGCATTACACATAGAACGCGCTGAATCGAAATAAGCCAGAGCCCTTAGTGATAGGCCTATACATGCGTAAATGAGCGAGTAAAGTAACCGAAATGCAAAGGGAGATACAATAGATTAGTTGACAAGAGAATAAATGTAACAAGGGCAACTTTGCATCAGAAAGTCAACGTGACTGTAGAGCAATGGCGCTGCAAAATACAAACATACAACAACCGAAAGTATAATACATCAGAAAGTACGAAGCACTGAAAGAACAGCTGACAATTTATAAGCGACGCCCCAACAAGGTTATGTATTTTATTTACTCGTACATATACTGTAGGCACGAGGTTTGCATTATTTAAATCAGTTTAATAACCTTGCATACGACTCCTGTTAAAATTATAGGCTAGCAGATTATTCTTGTAAACGAGGGCAGATGGAATGTGTGAAACGGGAGTCTTCCACGTTCGGGGGGGGGGCATGTTGAAGCCGGCAGCTGAGCTGTTTTGTTGTGCTGGGTTTAGCAGGCGTGATCCAGGCATCGCAACCGTCGGTGTTGTTCATGCATGGTATCCATATCTGTTTTTGCACCGGTTGGCACGGCCGTGCAAGACCTCTCCCGGAGGAGGGTTGGTACAATAGGGTATACCCCACGGCTAGTAGCTACGCCAGGGGGGGGGGTGGACGGATTGATTGCCAAACCTGACTCTGGCTTTGTGTATGAGGAGATGTATTTCTAAAACAGGGATCTGCTGCGCCTTTCTCGGACAGCCTCACAGGTTACAAGTGATGGTTTTCCTTATTGGGGGGGGGGGGGTTCGTGTAAGACTAATCTAAGACCTTATATATATAAGACAACGCAAACGGCATTCGTCAGTCTTAATCTTGCCCTGCGTGTGTGCGTGCGTTGTGACATTGTCGTATCAGTACGTGAGTAATTCCGTTGGCTTAGGGTTCTTTGCCACTATATCTATCTTGATTTAATTTGTACTATCTTAGTGAACTGTCTTAATTTCTAGTACATGAAATAATCTTTTCTTATATTTCTGAACGTAGTTTCTTATAGCTGTGTAGAGAAGCACTTAGTTTGCACTGTTTGTATTTGCGACCCTTCTTGTGCTATCGTACTATTTTTTATTACTGCAGAGCTTTCTCGTAATGAATCTATTCTGCTGTGGCACTGTCTCACTCTCTTGTTCTTTTGATTATAAGTGTTAAACAGTTTTTATGCACTTCTTGGTAAGGACGTAACAACACCCGCTTACAATTACAATATAATATTTTATTTGTAAACATTGCTTTTTATTAAGAAATACATTTTAGAGCTGTGAAATCTGGTCGATAGATATCGGCGCTAAAATAATAATCTTAATTTTTCGAAAAATAATGTATACCTCTCGCGCCAGTGCTTGCGGCATACTTGGCAACTTGTATAAGTCGGATCACCCCCCCCCCCCCACACACACACACACACCTTCCGCATTACGCTATTACCGGTAGGAAAGTATACTTGTCTCAATTTCTAGCGAAAGACGAGTAGAATGATATATCTGAAAATCCCACCTATCAAAGACACATGTCTAAGCTATGATCTGTTCCAGTGTTGAGTTTAATAACGTGCGTTTAGTTTCATTAAATTCGAAAATAAGCAGGCGCGCGTATCGCGGTTATACCGACGCGTGTTGGTATATGAGCCGGCTATACGCGGGGCTACGGCGTGGTAGGAAAGAATTACTTGCTCCCATTATCTCGCGAACAAGTCCGGGGGATATTCTTAGAAATCTTGCCTTATCATAGACACATGTCTTAGCTTATGATTGTTGTGTGAGTGCTGAGTATAATAAAGCTGCGGTTAGGATTAATTAATGCGAATATTATAAGCTAATGTGAAATTAGAAGAGCTAATTGCGGAGGGTCGCAGCAGGAATATATATATATAGCAATATATATATATATATATATAATATATATATATATATTATATATTATATATAGTATAGTGGGTCTTCGGCGGTGTCGACCGCCGTCACCAAGGAAGCGCGTTCCTGTCGCCCGTTGCCGCCAGGGATGCGGCCACGCTTCTTCCCTCTTGCCTGCAGCACGTAAGCTAATAATATATATATATAGTTTTCATAACTTTATCTATGATTCGTTAAAAATTAATAAATGTGATTTTGTATAATATTGTATGTATGTGTATTGTATAGGAATTTTACAATTAGGTAATAGTTTGCAACCGTGGTAATTTTAGTATTTTACCTGATAATCATTTTAAGTATCTGTCGAACAACAATAATTAATTCACAGTTTTGAGGTCTGCAGTGGTGGGCGGCGGCTTTGAGCGACGAATGGAGGGTGCGTACAACCAGCTAGGAAACAATCAAATGCGGCGGTACTCGCCATTACAGCCACCGTATCCGCCAATCCTTCGTCGACACTGTCGCCGCGAGCCGCACACACAACCATAGAAAATATTGTGATTCGCAAGTAAACGAAATGCACTGCAGGTAATATGCTAATTCTCATAGCATAACAAATTGTTAATTAGCGGTTTTTGCATATTCACCACAATTCATACATCAACATCCTGCACTGTCCGGACCCACGTATGTAGCCACGAATAATCAGTGGCGTTTGACGTTCGGGGGGTCGAGGCGTTCTACCATGTATATGCTGTGATAGCGATTCATCAGTGCTATCCGCTGTAAGCGTGTGTTATATTCTATTACAGCATATAATTTGATATCCACACAGTAATGCGCGGTATAATTAGTCACTAGCGAATGCTTCGTTGTAAGTCATTGATAACAAAAGAAATAGTCGACACAGCAACAACTTGTGTGTACTTTTGGTAACACAATTTTATAGCAGGCATTTATAAATGGTATTTTGTTTCGATGTAATGCGTGATTAGAGTCTCGTGTATCGAATTTGCAAATAATTATATCACGAGTAGTTAAATAACTGTTTAATTCTGATTCATGTTGGCGAAGTATAAATTGAATTTGATGATGATTCACTCATATCATATATAACCGAATGAAATATTTTTTAAGCAGGATGGTGGCCGCATGACCCTCCGCAACTCCTAAGTCCGGATTCGTCGATTTTTTTCATAACAATATTTTATAGTAACGAATATTGCTTGCAGCGCACAAGTTAGTTTAGTCCACATTAGGTGCTTTTTGACAATTCTTACAGTTCTTGTTTCAAGAAGCTATATCAGTTGGAATGATGTTAAGATTCTGCAGGAATGTTTTTCACTCTACGGCATCTCCACCAAATGCCGTCTTTACACCTCATGGTTGCGTTCTACATTTGCTGTAATTGCAATGCCACATTACAGTCAGTTCCGTTTGCTCGCAGAAAACGCCGATTGTACGGGCACGTCCAAACAGTTTTCAACCGATCGCATCCATGTCATTGCTGTGCAATGACGATTGCTATACTTATAATAAATACGTACTTTTGCGAAAGAAAATTGCCACACGTTCGTAAGATTTTCCAGAAAATGTCGATTTCAACGTTATGAAACTAACCAACTTTGATGCAGAACAAAAACAAGCATATTCATGATAACTTTCCGCATGTTCTACACAATGTATATGCAGAAGCCTTTGACAACATAAAATCATAGAATCTTTTGAACTGTTTTGTCAGAATTCTCGATCGTTTCTCTGTTACGAGTCTTTGTACGTGTCTCTGTTATATCCTAATATTTAAGTAATTATATGTTTCGGGATTTTCTCTCCAAGTTGTGCCTAGGCGTTTTCCCCTGAGCAACGTCGGGTACAACAATTAACATAACAAATCAGGTATGCACGAGAGAGATATTAAGCCAGAATATCAAATAAGAAACGTTCTATTGAGTGACGTGTTTTAAATACGTCTTAGTTGACGTTACACACTATATTCAACTGTGTTAGTTGTGATGTGATACTAATTGTGAAACACTGACCAACTAGAGCTTTTTCTTCACAAGCGAAATCTACATAGTAACTTACTGTAAAGGGAATATACAGTGTATAACGACACCGTGCAAGCGATGGGTTTAAAAGATCATATTATACAATGAAAATGTGACGCTTTGATATATGAACTGATTTTACTTCGATAGGGAAGACTAGGTTGCATACCAACAGCCGAGCGAGCTTTTAAGAGTGAGCTGCGCGATATCCCCATCATTATAGCCATCGCTTAATCATCAATTAGATGGCGTAAAACACTCTTATACTCCAGGATCTTAATTACTTACGCAGTTGTAAAATATGGTTTGTAGGTGTCGCCAAGCATTGTTTAATACACATGAAATGAGATGCATTAGAAAGGGTTGCAGGGTGCTGTCAGGAGCTAAGACTTCAAGAAGTCAGAGATGCGGGATTGCTTGGTGTACGTAAGAATATTATATATACGGTGATTTGTTGTTAGTGTTTGTTTATAAGGCTGGTTAATCCTGCTTTTGTAGAAATAACAGTCAATATCCCTGCACAGTGTGGATGCCACTTACGCACCAAGCCCAGGAGAGACCATAAGATAGTTTTACAGCAATGTTTGTGGGCGAGGTGCATAGTTGCTTTTGTAATTATTTAGGGGAAGCGACCACCTGGTGTCCTGGTATCAGGAGATCAGACCGGTTACCCGGGTGTCAGGATATCAGACCGGTTTCATCATAACAGCAGGTATATATAATCACACCATTAACGTTCGTAACATCAGTCTGATACGAGAACACCACACGGACGTTCAGTGACTTCATTTGGTAAACGGATGTTTCTTATATTAATTCAGTATATTTAGTTTTGTGATATATTATGTGCTTGACCTTACAGTCGTTAAATGACGCGTGATGTTTAGATGATATTAATTCGATGTTCAGAATAAACAGTTATATTGCAAACATAGAGAGGGCGCGTTTTTGTTCTACATCAATACGCGGTGTTCAATGCATTGATTTCTATTCTCTTTACTAATTTGTAGGAGAGCGTCTTATAGGACGTGAATTCTACAAGTGAGACGATCCAGGCTGTCTTCGAAGCAAAACACGTAGTCGTAACTTGAACGCCAGACAGGGTAGACATATCTGACGTGTGTGACCAGTACGTGGCAGCTTTCCCAGAAGCACGATGGAGTACGTGAGAATTAATTCCGGGACAAATCCATATGAGTGCGAGCTGTGTGATGCTGCCTTCTCATTTCTGAGTAGTGCGAAGGTACACATGAGAAGTCATACGGGAGAGAAACCGTATAAGTGTGCGCTGTGTGATGCTGCCTTCACATTATCGGGTAATCTGAAGACACACATGATCACTCACACGGGAGAGAAACCATATAAGTGCGATCTGTGTGATGCCGCCTTCACATTATCGGGTAATCTGAAGACACACATGATCACTCACACGGGAGAGAAACCATATAAGTGCGATCTGTGTGCTGCCGCCTTCACACAATCGGGTACACTGAAGACACACATGAGAACTCACACGGGAGTGAAACCGTATAAGTGTGATCTGTGTGTTGCCGCCTTCACAAAATCGGGTAATCTGAAGATACACATGAGAACTCACACGGGGAAGAAACCATATAAGTGCGATCTCTGTGATGCTACCTTCTCCCGTCTGTATAGTGTGAAGACACACATGAGAACCCACACGGGAGAGAAACCATATAAGTGCGATCTGTGTGATGCTGCCTTCACATTATCGGCTAATCTGAAGAAACACATGATCACTCACACGGGAGAGAAACCATATAAGTGCGATCTGTGTGATGCTGCCTTCACATTATCGGCTAATCTGAAGAAACACATGATCACTCACACGGGAGAGAAACCGTATAAGTGCGAGTTGTGTGATGCTGCCTTTCCACAATCGGGTACTCTGTATACACACATGAGAACTCACACGGGAGAGAAACCGTATAAGTGTGATCTGTGTGATGCTACCTTCACATTATCGGCTAATCTGAAGAAACACATGATCACTCACACGGGAGAGAAACCATATAAGTGCGATCTGTGTGATGCTGCCTTTGCACAATCGGCTCACCTGAAGACACACCTGAGAA